CCACAGTTACAAAGAACGCTACCATAATCCTATAAATAAGTGTCATATGCACTTTAAACGCATCCTCAACTACATTAGTATCATCGATGAGAGACACTAGAATAATCGAGGAGCATGGCATGGTGGTGAAGACCAGACGCCGAGACGAAGCCGCATAAGATCGGTGGAGAAAAAGCATGCCGATTAGAAGTAAAATTACAAACATAAAACCAAAATAGCCGAAGCCACCGTCAAGTAGACAGATACAAAACATAGAGGGGCATATTGAGCAGACAAGCACCATAAGATAGAGTATTGTCATGGAAATGCCCAGACCATGACAATTCCAGGATAAATGTATCATGGACCCCGCGTGGCTGTTGAAGGCCAGCCACCGCAACCTGTAAGCTCATCCTTACTAACACCACTTTCCTCAATTTTTAATGGAGCACATAAGGACCCTATGAAAGAGTCAACAGAAGCCAACCCAAAAAGATTGAGCTCACATCCAAGCCATGAAGGCCACATCAGGCCACAAAGGGCCACAAAAAGGTAGGAATTGATCATCACCTGATCCAGAAAATGTTTGAGGATGCCCCAACAAAGAACTCAAGGGCCGATTGCTACACCGATAAGATGAGTCGGCGTCACCAGTCTGGGTATCGCAAGGCGTTACTGGGAAAAAGCGTCGCAGTATGTCGGCAACACAGGGTGTTGGTGGGGTGATGGATCTGTGAGTTTGGGCTGCTGAGGTCGGAGTGGCGGTGGGGAAGGGGAGAGATTTTCTTAGGTCTCTGAGTGGGTTGCGAAAAGGAGATGGGGGAGGTGGGTGACTTTGTAGTTGTCGGATCTGGTCCTGGGTTTGGGGGAGAAGAGAGACAGCAGTAGATGTGAGAGGGAGGGCAGCTGAGAGAGGAGGGGGGGCGATGGGTTTGGGGGTGGTTGGGAAAAGGGAGGCGGCTAGGGCTTCACATTGGAGTGAAAGGGGAGGCGGCTAGGGTTTTTGCATCCCCAAATCTAGGACTTAAATTAGGAGTATGGTATGCATGCATGAGTAAAAGGTGAACAAAATCAATTATACATCTTTAAATTTACATCTTTCCGACTTGAGCAAAAATCACATTTACAACCCCCGGAGGTGTAAAAGAGGGAATTCCAGAGAGAAAGCTTGGGAAGCTAACAGTGTTTCCTGGGCCAGAAGATGGAAGTATTGATTTTGAAGCTTGCCTTTTGACTGAGACTCTTCGAGCTATGGCCGACGATGCAGAATTCATGGAGGCTGTGCTCACCTGAAGTGCCCTGCTTTTGAAATTGGCTTGCAAATTGAAGTTTGTCAGTGTGCTTAATTTTAAGGTTGGTGAATTTTACCTTGCACATGTCCATTAAAGATGTATGTTATTTGAAATCCCTCATCTTAATAAATAGAAACTTCACCACTCCCAGATCATAATCAAACTTAACCGTCAAATTGCACATGTCCATTTGTCATTGCATTACAAGTCGCCATAAGAAATTGAGACTAGCTATAGTATATGGTTGTATTGGGATAATTATAATTACTAGCTGCACGAGAATGAGATTACCAAGTAGCTGTTACTCAAGTGGTATGTAAGAAGAGGTTCCAAGTACGAATTCCTGCTCCCCTCGAGATAAAATAAAATATAAAAAAGCCTCGGGTTCGGTGAGCATCTTCTTGTTGCTCACAAAATTGCTAGCACACCAAATACAAACATATAGCAAATCCTTACAACAAACCAAAGGAAAGAATAATTTGCTTTTGCTGCAAAAAGAATCAACTGTATCAAAATTATCTCCCCTTGCTGATCAGACAAGGAATCCTTGTCTCCAACTGTGCGGCTACCCACCAAATATCCATCTCTTCCAATATAAAGCTAGTGAAGTGTGTTTGGAAATTTAATAATATAATAGTTTATATTATAATATTTAATTTTATTATTGAATGAAAAATCTTAGGTTGCGTTGTAGTTATTGTAACCAAGCCATTGCAAGTGTTGGTCGTCATTTGAACAAGCCACCGTTTGGTATTTTCATAAAATACCATATAACTATGATAAGAAGTTGCATATGTTGGAAACAGCCACGATGGTTTGTTTTAAGAATGATGTTTAGGTTTTATATAAACCCAACAGGTTCCTCCTTGTAGATAAGTTCTTACCCGTGGAAAAACAGAGTATTCCCCAGTGCTCTAGTTTTGCTGTTGTGATCAATTATGAGTCTAGTCTTGAGAGTGCAAATATATAATTGGTTCGTCAAAGTCTTAAATTGAAGTGCTTTAATTTAGGATTATCAATTGTTGAATCCTGGGAGATAGACACCTATAGAACTGCGAGCACAAGGATAGAGGCGAAATCTGTCTTTAGGACATTGCAATTCTTGTAATGCACCACAAGGCACAAATTTTACCAAGCCAACAAAGTGTCCAAGGGCAGCTCACAGAAAGTAGACATAGATCAAGTCCGGGAATACTCGAACTGCAACAAGAAGTACCTCGACCAGAATAATGTGATTTAGAGTCTAGACCAAGAAACTGAACTTCTTTCATCTTTCTTATGTTTGTTTTAAGTTTTGCTGTATATCTTTTCTTTTTCTGTTCTACTATTTTATGTTAAAGAAATAGCCATGCTTACCTTGTTATATCATCCATCTTAAGCGAAGCCACCGTCCTATACTTAAATAAATTAATTACATATAATATTCGATTTTCTGTGTTTGTTTATTGTTTGTTGACCAGAATTGGGTAGCCAACTACACTATATTCAAAAACCACCAAGAGCCTTTCAACAGTGTGGGAGGCAATCAATCCGGGCAAAATGACTCAGATTCGGCATATCTCCACAAACACCATCCGACCAACAAATCATCATGATCAGCTAAATCATAGAATTGAGTTAACTCCATGGGATTTCCGACTAATCCAACTTGACTATATCCAAAAGGGGCTTCTCTTTCAAAAACCAGCAGAGTTAGAACAGAGCAACAGCTTGATACAACACCTACAAGCCACTCTTTCCCAAACCTTGAACATCTTCTACCCGCTTGCCGGCCGCCTAGCCGTGATCGAAAATGAAGATAACTCCACTTGTTTTTACATCAACTGTAATGGCAATGGAGCCTTGTTTGTTCATGCAGCTGCTGACGGTGTCAAAGTGGTTGATATCCTTGACTCCGTTTATGTTCCAGATGACATTGTCAACAACCTTTTTTCTATGAAGGAGGCTTGGAACTACGAAGGCATTACGAAACCATTGCTTGCAGCACAAGTGACCGAGCCTGTTGATGGCATCTTTATTGGTTGCAGCATAAACCACATGGCTGCTGCTGACGGTACCTCTTTCTGGCATTTCTTCAATACTTGGTCTGAAATTTCTCGTCTTGGCAGTTATGATAAAATTTATAAACCTCATCCTGTTTTGGGCCGCCAATTTCATGAAGGGGTGATTGATCTCCCAATTCACCTACCCTCCTCCTATGTCAATGAAATCAAGAGCAAGCAGCTTATAATTGGACATGATTCATCTTCAGATTCTTTACAAAGGGTATTGTTTCATTTTCCCAAAGAAAAAGTTGCACGGCTCAAATCCAAGGCCAATGCTGAGATGGGCACCATTGACAGTAACATTAGCATCTCATCCCTTCAAGCACTCATGGCTCATCTTTGGAGAGCGATAACACGCGGCAGACATCTGAACCCAGATCAAGAGGTTGCTTATCGTGTTGCGGTGGGACTGAGGCAAAGATTGAACCCACCATTGCCAAAAGAGTACCTCGGGAATGCGCTTCTAGGCGTTATTGTCAAGTGCACTGCAGGGGAGCTGCTAGAACATGGGCTAGGCTGGGCGGCTTCCCAAATAAGCAAGACAATTGCTTCCCTGACAGCTGAAGAAGCGAGGAAGTACATGGAGGATTGGGTAAAAGCTCCTACATTTCTTTCAAATATGCTGACGGAACCAACAAATGTGGAATTGGTCACAGGAAGCTCGCCGCGGTTCAATGTGTATGGTAATGATTTTGGATGGGGAAGGCCGGTTGCTGTGCGAAGCGGAATTCCAGAGAGAAAGCTTGGGAAGCTAACGGTGTTTCCTGGGCCAGAAGATGGAAGTATTGATTTTGAAGCTTGTCTTTTGACTGAGACTCTTCGAGCTATGGCCGACGATGCAGAATTCATGGAGGCTGTGCTCACATGAAGTGCCCTGCTTGTGAAATTGGCTTGCAAATTAAAGTTTGTCAGTGTGCTTAATTTTAAGGTTGGTGAATTTTACTTTGCACATGTCCATTGAGATGTATGTTGCTTGAAATCCCTCATCTTAATAAGTAGAAACTTCACCACTCTCGGATCATAATCAAACTTAACCGTCAAATTCTCATTCATACTAACAAACTGGTGTCCTTCGAATTAAGGGAATTTTTTTTTCAAAAAGTTAAATGAGATTACCAAGTAGCTGTTACTCAAGTGGTATGTAAGAAGAGGTTCCAAGTACGAATTCCTGCTCCCCTTGAGATAAAATCAAATATAAAAAAGCCTAATCTCATGAGATTCGGGTTCGGTGAGCATCGCAACGGTGCAGGTAAGGTTAGGTGGTGGGATGCAGTGAGCTGATCTGTTTGGGACTTGAGGTGAATTAAATCAACATTATTTTTTTCAATGCATTCAGATTCAGTGATGCAGCACATCATTTGGGACCATGCCCCAGTAGTTAATAGATTATCTCGCTGGTTTATATCTTTTTGTTTACTACTGTTAATTATATTATTATTATGTTTTTTTAAAAAAAAACACCCATGCTTATCATGGCCTATTAAAAAAAACACCCAGCCTACTTAAAATAAATTATGTGCGTATCTGCTATTGATTTTATGCGTTCGTTTATGTGTATCTGCTATTGATTTTATGCGTTGAGCCATGAGCCAGTTTAAGTATAATGGAAATGCCATAGCCTTTTATAATGAGTACCACATTCCATCACAATCACCAAAGCTTCAACATTTTACAATCTGGGAGAAATGAATCAGATTCGGTGTATCTCGACGTGCACCATCCGACCAACAAGCCATAAAGATCAGCTACCAGCTCAGAGAATTGAGCTAACTCCATGGGACCTGCGGCTCATCCAACTTGATTACATCCAAAAGGGACTTCTCTTCCACAAACCAGCGGAGAAAGAAGCAAACCAGAGTTTGATACAACACCTAAAAGCCTCTCTTTCCCACACCTTGAACATCTTCTACCCACTTGCCGGCCGCCTAGCCGTGACTGAAAACGAAGATAACACCACTTGTTTTTCCATTAACTGTAATGGAGATGGAGCCTTGTTCGTCCATGCAGCTGCCGATCGGGTCGAAGTGTCTGATATCCTAGACTCTCTTTATGTCCCTGCTGACATTGTCTGTAATCTCTTTTCCCTCAATGAGGTCCCGAACTTCGAAGGCATTTCCAAACCATTGCTTGCAGTACAAGTGACTGAGCTATTTGATGGCTTCTTTATTGGTTGCAGCATAAACCACATGGTTGTGGACGGTACCTCTTTTTGGCATTTCTTTAACACTTGGTCTGAAATTTCTCGTATTGGCTTTGATAAAATTTCTCAACCTTGCCCTATTTTTGGCCGTCGTGAGTATCATGACCTCTTGATTGATCTCCCAATTCACCTACCCATGTCCTACGATGAAATCAAACGTAAGCATCTTATAATCGGACCGTCCTCCTATTCGTTACAAACTGTAGTATTTCATTTTCCCAAAGAAAAACTAGCAGAGCTCAAAGCAAAGGCCAATGCTGAAATGGTCAACAATAACATCTCAACTCTTCAAGCACTCATGGCTCATCTTTGGCGAGCCACAACGCGTTGCAGACATCTCAATCCAAATCAAGAGGTTACTTATCTAATTGCGGTAGGATTGAGGCAAAAGTTGAAGCCACCATTGCCAAAAGAATACTTTGGAAATGGGGTCCTAGGCGTTAATGTAAAATCCAGTGCAAGTGAGCTGCTACACCATGGACTAGGCTGGGCCGCTTCGCAAATAAACAAAACAATCGCTTCCCTGACAGCTGAAGAAGCGAGGAAGTACTTGCAGGGTTGGGAAAAAACCCCTACATTTCTTCCAAAGTTCAGCGATCCAAAAATGGTGGGATTGCTCACAGGAAGTTCGCCGAGGTTCAATGTGTATGGCAATGATTTCGGGTGGGGGAGACCGGTTGCGGTGCGAAGCGGAGCTGCCAACAACATGGATGGGAAGTTGACTGTGTTTCCTGGGGCTGAAGAAGGCAGTGTAGATTTTGAAGCTTGCCTTTTGCCTGAGACTATACAAGCTATGTTGGACGATGCAGAGTTCATGGAGGCTGCAGCGCTGGGATGATTAAACTCTTTGCAAGTTTTTCAATTTGCGTAACCCAAAACAATAATGTTTGTCTTTGCATGTTATCAGTCTTACCGAAATCTCCAATTACCTTGATTTTTGCAAGGGTATAATGGTTATTTTACGCCTATTTTACTAAATTATAAAAACCAAGCAATGAAATAGATGCATAATGAGCACAAGGATCCCGAGCCTCTATATTTAGCATCGGTGTATTTACACGCATTTACAAGAATGTCAACCACTAGATTAATCTAATGAATTTTCATCAATCCACATCAGCATAATTGTATTAGACTAAAAATCACTAGTTGCACCTTAAAACTTACAATTTTACCATTTCTTTCATAATTAAATCATTTTCTCCACCAACATCATTTAACTGTCCCATTAATTTACCATCATGAACCCTAATTTTCTTTAACAAAATTAAAACCGTAGGACCAATCTTAACACCTAAGTTAAACCAAATAGAACATTTGTGATTTTAGGAAGAAAAAATAAAGTGAAGTATCCTGCCATCTAAACAATTAATTAATAGTGCACATGCATGCATAACCTATTTTAGACAAATTTCTATTGTCACAACTTAAATAATTTTTGTTTTTGTTTTTTATACGAGCGCTATTGAAGGAGGGAGAATCGAACTAGGAGTTACAAACCCCTTGCTGTTAAATAAATTATCTAAGTATCTGATTTTGGTATTTTATCTGTTTATTTATTAGAAATGGCCCAGTTGACCGTGGACTACTAAAGGACCTGGCCTATAATTACTAGGGTATATAACAAATTTTGAGTTTAATTGATAAAAACACAAAATGACATATCGTTCTCCTGAACCTATAATCCAAGGAAGTTGTGGTTACCCATTTTTAGATCTACTCTAAGGTTTGAGACAAAATTAGTTTAAAAATAAATATGTCATCTTTTCTTTTCTTTTCTTTTTTTAACTTTAATTGTATAATATATATAGCAAAAAGAAGAGAATGGTGAAACATTCAAAATTTCAGAAAATGCCTTTGGTTAATGAAAAAATTAAGAATTGAAATTATTAATTATTAGAATAATATGGTAAATTCACACTTTTTCATTTTTTTAAAAATTAAAAATTAAAAAAAAATCAGATAATGTGTTTTATTTTTATGGAACACAACTACCCATTATCCTTTTTAATTCTAGAAAGAAAAAAAAACTAATTGCTCGTGTGTGCCAACTTAAAAAACTAATTGCTCGTGTGGAAGATACTAAGGCACTGCTAACCCAGATCACTGGGGATGGTTTTACCCATATCCGCCGGGTTGCAAATGGAGCGGCTCATCGTCTGGCGCGTTATGCTTCCCATATTGGAACTATGGCTACTTGGTTTGAAGAACCGCCAGATCTTCTAGTTGATATCCTATATGAGGAGTGTAACTTGTAGTTTTTTACGGCCATGCTCCTAGGGGGACGGGGGGGGACTCTATCGGAGGCAAGGTTCCTTCTCCCGCTTGCGGTCGAGGAGGTAGGCTACTTCGTAGCTGATGACCACTACGCTTCATTTGGTGTAGAGTACTCGCCTAATCCTCTAGGGTTTGAGCCTGATTTTTGTACTTGTTACCCCTTTTTTCCTATTCAATAAAACACTATCGCCCTTGTGTTTCAAAAAAAAAAAAAACTAAAAGTAAACAACAACAAAAATCACTCCAACCAAAACATGTTTCTCCCTCAGAAAACCAAGAACAGGTTTGTGCCACTGCCATCATTGCTCAAAGCTGAAGAGAACACCACCGTACAGCTAGCACCTGCCCACACGACCAGCCATGATTCCTGTCTTAATGGGCGTGATTCTGGGAAGTCAGTTCCCCAATTATTACCAAATCACAACTGATTGCTCAATTACTTATTCTTTTTTATTCACATACCATTTGTATACCTTTACTTTAGCTTAGCATCAATTACTTACTGTAAATATCATTGTATTGGTCAACGACCATGCAATTATATAATCAACCAGCAATACAGAATAGACTCGCGGTTCTTCTTATCTTTTCTTGCCTATTTGCTCTATTTTCTTCCTCAACCTAAGTTCCTTTTTCTATATAGCATAATGAGCAGACTCAATTCATCACACGTGGCTCATTATCATATGGGAAACCACCTCTTTTGCCGACACCCGTTGCTTACTGGATTTGAAGTTATTTATCAATTTTGTAATAAGCAAGGACATGTTGCACGCATTTGTCCTGAACGTGTGGGAATTATGCATATACAACATAAGCTACAAATGCCAACCCCAATGAGAATACAAGTTGGTGTTTAGATTCTGGGGCTACCCACCACATGACAGCAAACCTCTCTGCTCTTCCATATGCTTAGTCATATACAGGTATAGACACTATAATTGTTAGTAATGGCAACCATTTTGGCTATCACACATAATGGGAACACTAATCTATCCACTACACATAAGTCTTTAGACCTTAATGAAGTCTTATGTGTTCCTACCATAAGAAAGAATTTTATTAGAATTCATCGATTTTGTCGAGATAATGATTTGTTTCGTTGAAATGAATGTTAATGGTTTTTGTGTAAAGGACAACAAGACGGAGAAGGTACTCTTTACTGGCAGTAGTTCTGGTAGATTATATCATATCAATGCAATGCCAAATGTTACCAACAAGATCGTATTTTATGGGAAAAGGACGACACAGGACGTGTGACATACTCGCCTTGGACACCCTTCTCACCCAATTTTTCGAACTCTTTTGAATAAACTGTTGAAATTGGCTCAAATATTATGTTGTTTACTATCTTTGTTGCGTTGCATGTCATCCACTGAAGTCAGTTCCCCAATTATTACCAAATCACAACTGATTGCTCAATTACTTATTCTTTTTTATTCACATACCATTTGTATACCTTTACTTTAGCTTAGCATCAATTACTTACTGTAAATATCATTGTATTGGTCAACGACCATGCAATTATATAATCAACCAGCAATACAGAATAGACTCGCGGTTCTTCTTATCTTTTCTTGCCTATTTGCTCTATTTTCTTCCTCAACCTGAAAATATATCAAATACCAATTTTACATGGTATCAGAGTGGTACCCTGGCTCTGCATCTACGCCCATCTCATCCAAGGTCAATATATGCATGTGATAATATCTTGTTGAGATGATATAAATATAATTATTAACGAATAAATTTGTATGGAAATACGTATTAATTGTCTCGTATCATATTTAGTGAATATACTTTATGACATGTGTATTTTAAATCATGAATTGAGAAAGTTATATGATAAAATGAATGGATATAAGATCAACTAGTCCTTCGATTAGAATTCATCGATTTTGTCGATATAATGATTTGTTTCTTTGAAATGAATGTTAATGGTTTTTGTGTAAAGGACAACAAGACGGAGAAGGTACTCTTTACTGGCAGTAGTTCTGGTAGATTTTTTTTAAAAAAAAACAGAATTTGGATTAGTTTTTCACTCATGTGAGTGGTGATGAATTGACGATGAATTGAATGGTTTAAATAAATAAAAAATTCTCTAAATATATGATATGTCTATAATCTATGTTAGAACTACAAAAGAAATCTTGTTCTTGACTCATGGGTCCTAGTTATAATAAGAAGGAGGAAACGACACTCAAGTATCAACCGTCAGGTTTAAAACGAATTCTGCCTATAGGTAATCAGTGTATATCATATCAATGCAATGCCAAATGTTACCAACAAGATCGTATTTTATGGGAAAAGGACGACACAGGACGTGTGACATACTCGCCTTGGACACCCTTCTCACCCAATTTTTCGAACTCTTTTGAATAAACTGTTGAAATTGGCTCAAATATTATGTTGTTTACTATCTTTGTTGCGTTGCATGTCATCCACTTGGAGAAAGGAAGAGATTGGTTCTTTCCTTTCTCATGCATTTGCCGAAAGCTACCAAAGGAAGAGAAAAATGGGAAGCCACAATTGTTGAATGTTAGTGGCCAATGATATTGCATGGATTAATTATGTCTTTAGTGGGAGACAAAGCATGGTACAATGATGAAGGATTTTCTTCATTCTTTGGCTGACCATAACGTGGGTTTGGTATATGATATTACTTGTCCATTGTTGATGATATAACACTCAATTCGTATGGTTCTATTCACTTGTAAAAAAATATGATTGGTTTATTATGTTTGTTACATTTAAATGAATGATGGGCTACAAATTGATGGTGGTGGAGAATTCACAAGTTGGGTCTTCATGAATTTTCTACATGATCATGGCATAACTCACCAAATTTCTTGTCCATACACACTTCAACAAAACAGTGTTGTAGAGCGAAAACATAGGCATATTGTTGAAATGGGACTATGTATGCCGGCTCAGTCTCATCTTTCAAAAGGGTTTTAGTTGGAAGCCTTTTCTACTGCAGTTTTCCTTATTAATAGACTGCCCTCTTCCCCACTTGGACACATCTCACCATATTGGTTTATTGCCGAAGGGGATTGGTTTAAGTAAAAGTAAGGGCCCGTTTGATATCCTATTCAAAAAATTAAACTTAAAAACTATGATTCTTTTTAAAACATGAGTTTTCAAATACAAATTTTAAGATCTGAAAACTTGTTTGGTATTCAACTTCAAACCAATTTTTAAGAGTTTTGGGTGTGTCTGTTTTCCTCTTATGGTTCCTTATTACAACTCCAACAAGCTCTCTTTTAAATCCATTAAATGTGTCTTTATTGGATATGATGATCATTACAAAGGTTATCGTTGTTTAGATTTGATTTCAGGTCGGATCTACATATCTCAACATGTGACTTTTGATGAGACCAACTTCCCATACCCGGCCCAATGCAATTCAAATTAGCTCCACAAAATCTGCTGCCTTCCACCCATTGTGGTTCAAATTAGCTCCACAAAATCTGCTGCCTTCCACCCATTGTGTACCACCTCTCTAATAAAAGTGAAGCCCACCACCTTTATTAAAGCGGTGTTACATAATGTGGTATGTCTAGAATTGCTCATAACATTATTCTTTTGATATGGCGAGAAGTTGCTTTCATAAGGAATTAACCTGGTTCCATATCTTGGAGACAGCCATTAACCTTTTATTGCATGGGCCTCACTTATCGCATATACTTGATGGAAGAATGATTATAATTCATAAACAATAATACTAATCATATCACATTTACTAACCACATTGTTATAATACAGGTGGAACCCACATATTGCAAATCATTTTAATATGCAGTACTAGCGAGAACATTCAAGAATCAACCATCCAAGTCCAACCCCTCTCTCCTTCTATCTCTTCTTTCCACCCCTAGCTTTGACGACACCACTTGCTTTCGTTTGTTCCCTTAAGCGCTTGACAACTCTGTAAGAAAATATGGGGTAGCCTTAATGCATAATCAGGTGTTAATGCACTGTGTACATCACATTTCGTCGTTGATCCAATGTAGACCATTGTAGATATGCAGGCCTGTAAAATCAAGTTTGTAGTTCGAATAAACGAACTTTTATTTTCTTCCACTTTCTAAATCAGGTGTGTTAATGAAGTTCATAATCAAGTATCATGAGCAGCTTTTATTTTTCAGTGTTTTGCTTGAATTTTTCTGTCTAAATGACTAAATCTATTGAGGTATTTGAGGTTGGGTGTCATTTTCTAATTTTGACTTGTGTCTAATGCCATTTCCTAATTTGGGGGCATTTGATATGGGCCACGCTTATTGGGACTCTCCATTTTAACCTTTCTTTGACGACATATGGGTAACTAGGCCTTGCGAGAGATTCTCAATTGGTTAATTTCTTCTTGTTATTTTGGCTACTAGTTGTAAGTTTAAGCACACTGCAGTCAAAAGTAACCAAAATATATGTTTTACAATTACAAGACATGACTGTCTGGGCCAGCAAGTTGAGAAATTATAAAATAGTATGGTAGTAGAGTTACATGGTATAGTTTGTATATGTGTTATAATATGGGTGTACTACAAAGTTGATATTTCCCTTTTAAACAAATTATACGACTATGGCTATACTACCGTACCACACTATAATTGACTTAACTACATGGGACCTGTGTTGGCAAATTATATGGGGCCATTGAAATTGTGAGAATGTGAAGGTAAAAAAGTTTCACGTTGGAAAGTGGAGAAACCTAGCAAGGGCTTATAAGGAGTTGGGCTATTCTCCCCCATTGCCAATTGATTTTAGGGTGGTTTCTCAACTTTCTTCATAGTATCAGAGCAGGTTAGCTCACGTGTGAAAACCCAACGGCCACACGTGCTTCATGTCACTCAATATGTGTTGTCCACGTGTTAGGCTTGAAAATACACTACATGTGCGGGGGCGTGTAAAATGGTGAAAATAAAAAAGTTCCACATTGGAAAGTTGAAAAACTTAGCTATGATACAATGATAACAAAGTTTAATAAAGACATAGCAAGAAACTTTGAGAAGAAGCTTACGAATTTTCTCTGTTTTTCAATCTACTTTATAGTACTTATATGACTGAAGCACTTAGCTTCTCAGCTATGACTTAACAAACACGTAAACCCACGTAAACTTCTTACTATAAGTAAACAATTCAGCATGTCATATCAGTATTATATACACGTCTTTTGCCAATCAGAAATACCATTTGCTTTTCACATGTGGTGGATAGCTCGCATCGCAGTGTGTGGTGCTGAACACATAGCGAAATAATTGTACTACGTACTGAATTATTATGCACGTACTCTACTTCCTTTATTTGCTTAGAAGTAACATGAACCACAGAGTTATGAGCAGTGAGCCCTCAAGTCCTGTATATAGATTATACATCTTTGGTTTATAGATTATACATTTTGTTTATATCTCATATTTTTCTGTTCTACTATTTTATGTTAAAGAGATACCCGTGCTTATCTTGTTATATCATCCAACTTAAGCAAAGCCACCATCCCCACGGCGGATCCGGCGATGTCGCGACTTGTTGTTTGTAGGGTTTGATTTTAGAGTTTTTGTACTTTTTAGGCTATTTGTTATTTTGGGCCTACATTTTGTACTTGGAATTGAGCTTTTATTTTTTTATTTTTTTGCTGAGCTCTTCCTGACTTCGTATTGAGCTTTTTGTATTATCTATTTGGTATTGACATATTCATTCCTTCCGACAAATAAAAAATAGCAAAGCCAGCGTCCTACTTAAATAAATCAATTGCATAATATTCGATTTTCTGTGTTTGTTTATTGTTGACCAATGGGGTAGCCATTTTATATATATCACTATAATCAAACACCACCAAGAAAACCTTTCAACACTGTGGGAGGCAATCAATCTGGGCAAAATGACTCAGATTCGGCATATCTCCACAAGCACCATCCGACTAACAAATCATAATGATCAGCTAAATCATAGAATTGAGTTGACTCCATGGGATTTGAGACTAATCCAACTTGATTATATCCAAAAGGGGCTTCTCTTTCAAAAACCAGAACAGAGCAACAGCTTGATATACAACACCTACAAGCCACTCTTTCTCAAACCTTGAACATCTTCTACCCACTTGCCTGCCGCCTAGCCGTGATCGAAAATGAAGATAACACCACTTGTTGTTCCATCCACTGTAATGGCGAAGGAACCTTGTTTGTTGTCCATGCAGCTGCTCATGGATCCATCTCTATTAGAGAGATAGTAGTATGACGTCGAATATCATTTTTGAATTATTATATATAGCCATTTGCTATATGTGATGGTACAATACTAAATTATTGTACGTCACCTATGCATTCATTGGATTCTGGTTGAATTCACGTGATGTTTGAATTCTGGTTGCCAGTACAAGTGAGAATTATTAAATATGCAACTTTATATATATGTTCTTGCAACCACCAACCAAAGTAAGTTGGGACACATTTATATAATTGTGTTTGCTGTCCACATTGTGGGAAGTAAAAAAAACACATATGAAGAAAATGAATCAGATTCGGCATATCTCTACGTGTAACGTTGGACCAACGTGTGAGTTAACTCGTAGATCAATTAAGTTAACTCCATGGGATCTGCGATACCTCGAAATTGATTATGTCCAAAAGGGGATTCTCTTCAACAAACCAGCAGAGGAAGAACACAGCAACGGTTTGGTGCAACACCTCAAAGCCTCCCTTTCCCTTGCCTTGAATGTCTTCTACCCACTTGCTGGCCGCCTGGCTGTGACGGAAAATGAAGATAAAACCACTACTTGTATTTCCATCGACTGCAATGGCGCAGGATCCCATTTCGTTCATGCAGCTGGTGACGGCGTCAAGGTGGCTGAAGTCCTTAACCCTATCTACATTCCTGATCACGTCGTCTGCAACCTCTTTCCCTTGAACGCAGTTCGGTGCTATGAAGGCGTTTCAAAACCATTGCTCGCAGTGCAAGTAACTGAGCTTGTGGATGGCATTTTTATCGGCTGCAGCATAAACCATGTGGCTGCGGACGGTACCTCATTCTGGCATTTTCTTAATACATGGTCTGAAATCGCTCGTACTGGTACTGACTCTGATATAATTTCTCAACCTCGCCCTGTATTTGGCCGTCATGAATTTTATGATGGCCTGATTGATCTCCCAATTCGTCTGCCCTTCCCCTGCAATGAAATCATGAGTAAGCAGCATATGGCTGCACCGCCTTCTGATTCTTCACAAAGGGCAGTGTTTCATTTTTCCAAAGAGAAAGTAGCAGAGCTCAAGGCAAAGGCCAATGCTGAGATGGGCACCAATAACATCTCATCTCTTCAGTCACTCATGGCTCATATTTGGCGAGCCACAACGCGTGGCAGACGTTTCCACCCTAACCAAGAGGTTTCTTATCTGATTGCAGCGGGGTTGAGGCAAAGATTGAAGCAGATGTTGCCAAAAGAGTATTTCGGAAATGCGGTTCTAGGCGTTACTGTGAGGTCTACTGCAGGTGAGCTGATGCAACATGGACTAGGCTGGGCAGCTTCCCAGATAAACAAAGCAATTGCTTCCCTGACAGCTGAACAAGTAAGTAAGTACTTGGAGAATTGGGTGAAAGCCCCAACATTTCCTTCGGTTCTGTGGGATCCAAAATCTGTGGTAGTGCTCACCGGAAGCTCACCCCGGTTCAATGTGTATGGCAATGATTTTGGGTGGGGAAGACCGGTTGCCGTGCGATCCAGAGCTTCCAACAACATGAATGGGAAGTTCACTGTCTTTCCTGGGGCTGAAGAAGGGAGTATTGATTTTGAAGCTTGCCTTTTGCCTGAGACTCTACAAGCTATGCTGGATGATGCAGAATTCATGGAGTCTGTGATCACCTGAACTATGTATTGACGTTGGTCAGTACCATAGTTAGCTTAGCTGAATCAAGCATCTCTAATAAAATGATCCAATCCAACTTTAATTTGGTCACATTTATTATATTAGATTGAGAAGAAAGTTGGTTTAATTTGGATCCCTTTTTTTTTTTCCTCATAAGTTCAACTGGCACAGCTGCAGAGACTTGAAAACTTATATGTGAATTTTCTAATTTTACTATTTAAGATAATTTGAAATTCCAGTGCTCAAGAAAACAAAGTAGTACTTCAAATTCACTCATAACCAAAAAATATATTTACTAGTAAGTCAAATTCAAAATCTAGGTGGTTGGTGTGAGTGATTCGACACTCTCTCATTTCTTAAGAGAGGTTAGGAGTTCGATCTCTGCTCTCGTATGGAGTCACCACTTTGGCCAGCACTTTACCCCTTACGGACCGACCCGGTGTGAGCAGGGGATTAGTCTGAGTTGTGATTAAGGCTTAAAAGTGCCACCCATAGTTGGGGCCCATCCAAGACCACCTCGTGGTTCAGACAAAAAAAAATCAAAATCAAAATCAAAATCTCAAGTTTTAATACTACTACACATCCAATGGAACCCAAAAACAAAAATACTATGTTTCGATCTCTCCATCTGAAACACACACACGCGTATCTTACAATCAAATTTTCTTTTTCGTTTTCTGTTTTGGGAATATCATGAAGTTATTTTTAAAAAAAAAGGATGCGAGCATGGCATCATTCGAAAGAGTTGAGGTAATAAAAGCCAGTCGTAGACCATTTTTTAAAAAGTTTTTCCGTCTGCCATTTACTTCATTTTGCTAATATGTCTCTTGAGCTTGACCCCTATTTTTGGTATTTTGTGTCCAGATTCAATCATGTTTGTTAATCATTGTACAAGCAGTAAAGCTACCGCCCTATTTCAATAAAGATATGATTTTGATTGTGTTTCCTTCTTTTTGGTCGAGGTGACTAACGGAAGGAACTTTTGGTCCTTTTTCTTCAAGTTGTCTAGGCGTGCCACCACCAAGTCACCAAATAGCTTGGATGGAAAAAGTTGGATGGATATGTTGCGCTTCTGACTTCTGATCAAGTGACTGTTCGGCCAAGCAACGAACCTCCTCTTAGCCTAGGTTCTTTCACTTCCTCGGGCTCGAGGATGGTTAAGCTTCGTATGGATGTTTTTGTGATTTTTAGGGCTTTTAAGTCAATGCAAATAAATTAAAGATGTGATTAAACTAAACACAAGAATTAAAGTGCGATAAGTAAACATAAAATAAAGTAAGAGCGAGACAAGAATGATAAATTAAATTAACTTGAAATTAGACTTAATGAGAATTCGCTAACAATGAAAAGTAAGGCAATAGAAATAAATTTGAATTTAAAAGACAAGAAAATGTAAATTGCAAGAAAGTAAACTTACACTAGGAAAGAAAGAACTTGCTACACTAAGTGCTTAAAAAGTAAAATCCTAAATCTAGGAAAGAAAAAAAAAAGTGTGATACGAAAAATAGGTTTGTATGTCTAATGATGTGTGTCTTCTCCCTTCGTCTGATGAGGTTTATATAGGGGCATCTGTCAGCCAATGTGTTAGCCATTAAATGGCTGAGGTCAACTCTTTTGAAACTCCTTTCTTATCAGGCTCTCCAAATCCATGGGATTGCTTTGATTGAGATAATTTGTTTGCTTGATTTTCTCTTCTTTCAGAATACTCCGGATTGTCATCACTCCTCTTGATCTCTTTCCTTGTAAAGCCTCCGTCATGTGCATGTGATTCTATGGAAATCTTGGGTTTGGATTCGTGGCTTGGGCTTGTTCCTCCGAGTTTTTGGATTTGCATTCGGGGCTTGGCTCCACGTTGGACCATCTTTGAGCTCTCCGAATATCCGAATATTGGCCACATGTTGAGTTCTCCAAATATTCGGATATTGGAGATTCTAGATTTGGTTGAGAATCCACGGAAGTTGGCGTGGGAGCTCCAAGATCCACTGAGAAAACTGTCATATTTATTTATTAATATATATGCCATATCCTTTGACTATTGAAGTCAAGAACTCTTACAAAAACTTGTGTTTTCTTCTCATAGCCAATTGGAGAATTTATTGGCCATTTGAGATTTTGGCAGATTTGAGTTGGTAGATTGGAATTGGAGGCATTGCTCCCATCCCTTTGGCGGAATAGGTTCGGTGGACCTCGCTCTTGGCGGATTTCATCTAGGCCGTTAGCATTTTCTCCACGGTGGATTGGTGAATTTGGACCACCCCAAACTGAATGGTTGGGTTTGTTTATTGTTGAGTCTCAGTCCAAGACACTAGAAAAATGGCGTAGCCTTCTAACCATACTCACAACAGTGTCATCATTCAACGTTTAATGTTGTGGTCTAGTCTCAGTGTTGTCCACTTAAATTGGGAAAATAAAAATGGCTCAGATCCGGCAGATCTCGACAACAATTGTCCGGCCAACAAGCCATGATCACTTAAAGCAGAGATTAATTGAGTTAACTCCATGGGATTTGAAACTAAGCCAACTTGATTATATCCAAAAGGGGCTTCTCTTTCGAAAATCGGCGGAGTCAGAACAGAGCAACAGCTTGATACAACACCTAAAAGCCACTCTTTCCCAGACCTTGAATATCTTCTACCCCGCTTGCTGGCCGCCTAGCAGCTGTGAAAAGCCAAGATAAAGCCGGTACTTGTTTTTCCATCAACTGTAATGGTGATGGACCTCTTTTTGTTCATGCAGCTGCTGATGGTATCCTTGACCCTGTTTATATTCCAGATGACATTGTCTCCAACCTCTTCTCCATGAATGGGGTTTTGAACTACGAAGGGGTCCCAAAACCATTGCTTGCAGTGCAAGTAACAGAGCTCATTGATGGCATTTTCATAGGTTGCACTATGAACCACTGTGTTGTTGATGGATCATCATTCTGGCACTTCTTTAACACTTGGTCTGAGATCTCTCATTCCGGCTCTGATGAAATTTTTCAACCCCTTCCCGTTTTCAATCGTCAATTTCTTGACGGTGTAGTTGATCTTCCAATTCACATACCCTTCTCAGACAGTAAAATACCGGATAAGCTTAATCCTCCCATCTCATTAAATTATTTGCAAAGGGTATTTCATTTTTTTAAGGAGAAAACTGCACAGCTCAAATCCAAGGCCAATGCTGAGATGGGCACCCATAACATCTCATCCCTTCAAGCACTCATGGCTCATCTTTGGCGAGCCGTAACACGTGCCAGTCATCTCAACCTTGATCAGGAGATTATCTACAAGATTGCAGTAGGATTGAGGCAAAAATTGAAACCTCCATTGCCCAGAGAATACCTTGGAAATGCGCTTCAAGGTGTTCATGTGAAGTCCACTGCAGGGGAGCTTTTACAACATGAACTAGGATGGGCGGCTTTGCATATAAACAAAACGATAGCTTCCTTGACAGCTGAACAAGTGATGAAGGTCTTGGAGGATTGGGCAAAACCCTACAGTAAGTTCAAAATTGAGGGAAAACATCCCAACAAGTACTACTAGTAGCACTTTTTCATTGCTCACAGGAAGCTCGCCGCAGTTCAATGTGTATGGTAATGATTTTAGGTGGGGAAGACCGGTTGCTGTGCGAAGCGGATCTGCGAACAAAATGAACGGTAAGTTAACTGTCTTTCCCGGGGCCGAAGAAGGAAGTATTGATTTTGAAGTTTGCCTTTTGCCTGAGACTCTACATGCGATGGCAGAGTATGCAGAGTTCATGGAGGCTGTGCTCGCATGAAGAAGTAAACTCTTGTGTATTTTTATTTTGCAAATTAAAGTTTGTCCATTTGCTTAAACATCCAAAGGTTCTTAAGTAGATGAATCCTCTAATAAGTAATTTATCAAAAGCTGTCCTTTTGATTTTTAGTTTCACAATTCCAGTAAGCTGTTCATTTAAACCCCAAATCATAGCACACTCCTACTTGAACATAAATTTGGCACACCCTCTGTTTGAACGACATTATTGATTGAACTTAGGCCTTTGGCAGCCCTAAATACCTCCAAAGACTCATGTACATAGTTTTAGGAATTTTTTATAATCAAGATTGAGGATAAATCCAACAATAGTTTTCTTTAACTGAATGTTAAACAGAGAACTATATAAGGGAATGGAGCGAGAAGTTTATATATTTAAAGGGAGCGAATTATAAAACACAAAGTCAAGGAAATCGCGACAGAGGAAATCTTAGTAGATGATCCGTATCCCATAAGATATGACAACTTTTCAAATCACACACAAACTTTTCTTTCTATGTATGTATAGCCCTCAGACTATATGCACATTGGAACAATCACTTTTAAGGCCTCCTGCTTTTATATATATATATAGATAAAGGCGGACATATGGATTTTATTTCTGTTTATGGATTATTACTCTTTTATTTTAAAATCTTCAGAGTTTATTAGTTTATTTAGAAAATCTAAAATACGTAGAGCACAGTAGACAATTCAAAATAGACGATGACTTTCCTTTTCCCCCCAACTTATTTAACTTTTTCCCATTACCAAACCCACCAAATAAATTACCTTTTTTTGAAATTTCCAACCCATATAATAAAAAAAGAATACAATTCATATTCAAAAACAAAAACAAAAGCAATACGTCTCGTTAAAACGACCGAAAATCCTTAAGCCGGACCCTCCCAAATTGAGACGTGACTAGGGTTTCAAGCCCGACCCGCCAAAATTCCTCTCTTCCCAAACCCTAAACCGTATAATTCCTCTCACTCTTATCCGGAACATCCTCTGTATGAATCGGATGCGATCCGAACCGCAATTGAGTTTCGGGTCCGAATAACCTCCCCGAGCTTCGTCTCCGACAATGGCGTCGAAGGCTTCGCCTTCAGCTTCTGCCAATAGATCGGAGCCTCACCAGGAACCTCCGGTATAAGCCTTCGGTGCTTTTGCTCGATCTCTTTCTCTCTCTAAATGCATGAAAACCCAGTTTAAATTCTGTCATTACTGGAAAGTCTTATATTTCTGGTCAATGTGTGTGCCTAAACACACACATATATATGTTTTGCATATATTTGTTTATTTATTTTATGAGAATTTAATAAATGGATGTAATATAGGTGCAATTATGTATGAATTTTATCAATGTGGGTTGGTAAAGAAGGATAATTAGCAGCATTGCTTATTTGGTTTCTGCTTCAGTTAGATTTTAAGTGCCAATTTCAACGAGTTTATTTAAGTTCCAGTTCATTTACCATGGACTTTCGACAAATATCTTCCAGCTTAGGAATGGTGTTAAAACATTGCCAGAATTGTTTCGCTGCTCGAGGATTCTAGCCATATTCTTTTTCTCTTCTTAGCTTGCATTTTTAAAAGTTTATTGCAACAGAAATTGGGGATATTCCTTTCTTGAAAAAATAATAAAAAGAGCACGGAATTATTGAGCTTTCTGTGCTCAACTTCTTGATAGATAGTGCTGCCTGATCTCTTGGAGCCCCTTTGTTCTGTGGTCATTCAACTCCAGTGTGACTTTACATGCTTATTCATTCTCTACTTTTTGTCTGGATTTTTTTACCTTCTATTTTAATGATTTAGGGTTTTTAAGTGGGCTCAAACTTATCATCTATTTTGTACAGATGACGGCATCACAAGAAAACATGGATGTAACCCGTAAGGAGATTTCATTGATCATAGATTCCCTAAAGAAGCAAGTTGTTTCTAACCGGGGTACTTCCATTAAGGTGCATCCCTAAGGACCTTATGGTTATTGTTGCATTGGTATCAGAAAGTCATAGGACTTTATCAAGTTTTGTCATCATAATACACGGTATTTGTTCTTTTGCAGAAAAGAATGGAGGAAAACAGGCAGAGGTTGGCTGGTGTCACTAACAATTTGTATAAATTGTCAATGGAAAGAGGAAATAATAGGTTTATTGATATTGGCAAAAGTGTAGATCTATTGACAAAGAGGCAAAAAGATGCATTTGCCTTGCAAAATGGAATTGATGTAAGTAAGGATGGCTCTCAAGAAGATGGCCATGGGTCCACAGCAGTTCTTCTAGAATCTAATGTTGCAGTCAAGAGTTCTGTTCGTCCTATCAAGCTTCCGGAAGTTAAAAGACTACCTCCTTATACTACATGGATATTTTTGGACAGGTTCAACCTTCACATAATCTATACTTTTCATGATTTGAATTATATCTTTGTGTTGCATATCAATCTCACATGTGCACAACCTTTGTTTGCTTGTCTGAGGTGGAGTTATATGTTTTACATTGTGGAACATAATAGTTGATTTGTAAGTTTTCTTATGAATTTTCTAGCTCTTCTACAAAGCTTCACCTAGTTACGATATGATTTAATCTATGTTCACGGAAAGAGCTAGGAAAGAGAATGGAATCAGTGCATAGCAAATTGGTTACATTTCACTACGCACCATAACAAGTTTGACATATTTTTTTGTAGTTTGAAATTAATATCTTACGGACATTTTATTGAGTGACTAGTTGAAATAGATTTAGTACACAAATATAAACATTTGTTATTATGTATTGAACACTTTGCTATAAACAAGATAAGATTCATAGTATTTATTGGATTCTTTTTCCTCTTCTTCTGCCTTGTTTGCAATTGAATCATGCAATTTTTAGACAATGTTGCATGTTTACATTCATCCATTATTGCTTTAAATATATATAATTTTTACATGCACCTGTTCAAATGTGTGTCATCGTGCACTGAATTGAATTAGTATCACTAAGCACCATAATGAGTTTCTCATATAATTGCGTTGTCCTTCATATAATTGCGTTGTCCTTCTCTTTGCCTTTTCAACCTATTTGAGCTTGTTCGAGATATTATGGTTATATTTTGGTTTGACGTATGGTGCAGAAACCAAAGGATGACAGAGGATCAGTCAGTGTTAGGTCGAAGAAGAATTTATTATGATCAAAATGGAGGTGAAGCTCTTATATGTAGTGATAGTGAGGAGGAGGCAGTTGATGAAGAAGATGAAAAGAGGGACTTTGTTGAATCAGAAGACTACATACTTAGGTTGGTTTAACCATGTTAACTAATGTGATATACTTAGTGATAGTCCTGAACTTTAGTTGGAAGAGTCAAATTCTTTTTGTTATTGTCACTCGTTCCCCCCTTTCTTGGATGGACACAGCCTCATATCATCTAGGTCAATTTTGAACGTACAACTGTGCAAGGGAAAGAGACCAAAAGGAAAGTCAATTTTTGTACCGAGTACAACTGAGCTAATTGAATTATTTTGTAATTTTTTTTCTTTTTGCGAAAACATGGTAATTTAAAATGACCTATATGTTCAGTCCTCAGGCGCCACGATATAGTTTGAGACCCATGTTTTCATCTTGGATTCACAATTTCAGTCTTATACTTATCCTTTATACATATGGAGAAAAGTATATGTTCTTTAATACTGTTGTGCAAGGTGAACTAATTGTTCACTTGTCATTCCATTAAATTTACCAGCATGGCTATAAAAGAAGTTGGCTTCTCTGATCCAGTGCTGGAGTCATTAGCACAGTGTTTCTCTAGAAGTCCTTCTGAAGTCAAGGTATGTCAGTTTCTTTTTTCTATATTACTGGACTACTTTGCCCATTCTGCCATGCTTCTGTCCAATTTATAACACGATAAAAACCAGTCAGTGTAAGCTTTGGTCCAGCCGTTTCCCATTTGCTTTGTGCTGGCTTTACAGAGATATGAAACACCATCAAACGTCTTATACAGGCAAGATATGATACTCTCGTAAAGGAAGAGGAGGCTGTGGGGGGTTGTAAAACTATGGATAATGAAGACATTTCACAAAATGGGAATTATTTTCTTGATAAAGATCTAGATGCTGCTCTGGATTCATTTGACAACCTATTTTGTCGTCGATGCCTTGTAAGTATTCCTTTTGTAAATTCACTTGCATGTTTCTTTTTTTGTGATATCTTTTCTTAGTAGTTTCTCTGCTGTTTCTTTTTGGCAGGTGTTTGATTGCAGATTACATGGATGTTCACAGGATCTTGTCTTTCCTGTAAGTAATTGTTTAATAGCTGTCTGAATGTGGCACCAGACTTTTATACCCTGCGCTGATAAAGAAAAATATTGTCAGGCTGAGAAACAACCTCCTTGGAGCTCTCCAGATGCCGAAAATGCATCATGTGGTCCAAATTGCTATCGATCAGTACGTGTGTTGTTTAGCTGGGAATGTTGTAAAGAATTGGCAAACAAATGATTTATGTGGTTTCAAACTGTCTCATTTCAGGTACTGAAATCTGAAAGAATTGCTAGAGTGAGCTCTGTTGATGTTGAAGAAAAAAATGTCACATCATTAGATGGTGCTAGTGCTCAAATGTCAACGAGAAAGAAGTCTTCTGTTATATCTGCTAGAAAGAAGGTAAAGTCCGGCCAAAGTGAAAGTGCTTCATCTAATGCAAAAGCCATCTCAGAAAGCAGTGATTCGGAGAATGGACCCAGGCAGGATGCTACCCATCATCAAACACCCTCAAAGACTAAGCTAGCAGGAAAAAGTGGAATTGGCAAGAGGAACAGCAAGAGAGTTGCAGAGCGTGTTCTAGTTTGCATGCAGAAGAGGCAGAAGAAAATGGTGGTTTCTGATTCTGATTCCATTGTTAATGCTGGTCTTTGTCCAAGTGATATGAAGCTTAGATCAAATTCATGCAAAGATAATGAAGACACTAGTTCTTCTTCACAAAAGAATCTGAAATCTTCTACCAGTGGAGGGTTTAGGAGGAAGGAATCACCTACTAAGGGCAGACACAAAGTAGTTCAGGTTGATGTTCTTGATGGTTCATCAGATGAGATAATCGCTGATCCACCTGGCACTAGTAGTGATGACAATTTGAGGAAAGAAGAGTGTGTGGATGAAAACATCTATAAACAAGAATTAAGTGATGATAAAACATGGAAAACTATTGAAAAAGGCCTTTTCGATAAAGGCATAGAGATTTTTGGCAGGAACAGGTCAGTGGATATAATTTGAGTTTTCCTTTGATATATATATATATAGGCCCCTTCTATAGAGGGATCCCTCAAATAATTTTATTTGAGGGACACCCTTTAGGGTCCCCTAAGAATATTTTTTCAACGATCCAAACCATCTATTTTTTAAGTCTACATTCATAGATCATCCTTGCAAAAAATTAGACAAATCGGAAATCGTTTTGACATCCAATTGTGTCCTACAAAATCAATGAACACGGTGCTATAAGAAAGTACTAAAATTTCAATAACTCAATTGAGTGGTCAAATGGTATCAGATTCAAGTGATTTTTTTATTGAGATGATCTTTGAAGGATTATCTGAAAAATAGACAGTTCGGATTAGTGAAATACAATGCGGAGTGGGCCCTGCAAGGGTGTTCGGCAAATAAGTTTATTTAAGGGATCCCTCAATGGAAGCTTTGTGTATATATGTATATATATTTTTTATGTGTATCCTTGAGTTTGTAATGTATAGCATCCTATAATTACTGACCCAAAAAAGAAATCCTGTAATGTTATAACTTATAATCAATCTACAGTCTGATAAGTTCCCAATCTACAGTCTGATAAGTTCCCAAGGAAGATATATTATGTTATCAATTTGCCTGAACTTTTGAAATATATGGTGTAATTGTGCTAGATGTAGAAAGTTTTCAATACTTAATTTACTTATTCCTGTCTCCTTATAATGGGTTTCACATCTCTCATTACAGCTGTTTAATAGCAAGGAACCTTTTAAATGGTATGAAAAATTGTTGGGAGGTTTTTCAGTATATGAATTACTCAGAGAGTAAGATGTCCAGCCAAGAAGGTGATGCTGCAAATTCCCTTGTTGAAGGACATTCCAAGGTTGATTTTTATGGATTTATGGTCTTTTTCTGCATATGCTTATCTGCTTATTGGCAGGACCCTCCCTGCCCTAACAAGTAATTCTATTTTGAACTTTAGGGTAATAATGAAGCAAGAAGAAGATCAAGATTTTTACGTAGAAGGGGTAGAGTTCGTCGCTTGAAGTATACTTGGAAATCTGCTGCTTACCATTCAATCAGGAAACGAATTACTGAGAGAAAAGATCAGCCTTGCAGGCAGTATAATCCATGTACTTGCCAAACAGCTTGTGGAAAGCAGTGTTCTTGTCTACAAAATGGGACTTGTTGCGAGAAGTACTGTGGGTGAGCGTTTATTTTCCTCTTAATTATTTCTGAAAAGGGTAGATAACTCAATTTCTTTTTCTAAACTTTTATCTTGGTCAGCAGCGTGCCTCATTGATTTGCCATTGACTTCTGGGGATCCAATAATAATTCCGAACCTTTTTTTTCGAATTTATTTTTCTAGGTGTCCTAAGACTTGCAAGAATAGATTTAGGGGCTGTCATTGTGCGAAAAGTCAGTGCCGGAGTCGTCAGTGCCCCTGCTTTGCTGCAGACAGGGAATGTGATCCAGATGTTTGTAGGAATTGCTGGGTCAGGTGAGCTTATAACTGATTATTTTTTCTGTGGTGGAAAATCCTTTCGTATCACTTAGTAATGGGTATGGACTATGATGCATGATATTATCAATGTGCTTCAGACAGCTCGTGCCTTATTGTGATTGGATTTATCTTTTGCTAAATGTTTAGTGTTGAGAACATTCAACTTTGCCATTTTTTAATTTGTTATGCCTAAACAAGCAACACAGTTAACCTCACAGTTAACTTCTCATTTTAGAATCCGATAGTTAAAATTAAGTGATGAGAAACTGAATTAAACCATTAAAAAGGGGGAGAGAGCTGAGAGAGAGCGAAAGAGAGGGATTTTTATTTTTATTATTTATTATTTATTATTTATTTAATAATATATGTGGACGACATGTCATCATATGAGTAAGTCTACATGGCACGTTTGTTGCCATGTCAGCAGTTAACAGACTTGTTAATAGAAAGACTGACGGCATATATGAAAGTGATAAGAAAATCAACTGTGTATGCTACTGAGACCAAAAAAATTTGATGTATCGAACTCTAAAAGTTGGTAAACTTTACCGTAGTAAAGTGAAATTTACCCTTTTTTCTTTTTCTAGAAAATTATATTTGGAGTTTGTGTTTGTGACTGTTCAATGTCACTTGCAGTTGCGGTGATGGGTCCCTTGGGGTTCCAAACCAAAGAGGTGACAATTATGAGTGTAGAAATATGAAGCTGCTTCTGAAACAACAACAGAGGGTAATCAACTTCTCTTTACTATTTCTTTCCTACTATAGATGCATGGTCAAAAGCTGCCGTTTAAGTGAAAAAGTATTAAAGTTTTTGGACATTGAAGTCATCTAGTAATGACTGCTTTTATTCTCATGTATGTTCAGGTCTTACTTGGAAGATCTGACGTATCTGGCTGGGGTGCTTTCTTAAAGGTAGTGTCCCAATTTTAAGATATCTTGTGCATGCTTTTCCTTTTGCTGCTGGCTAATTTTCCTAGCCACCCTCCAGAATAGCGTCGGCAAGCATGAATACCTTGGTGAGTATACTGGGGAGTTGATCTCACATCGGGAAGCAGATAAGCGTGGAAAAATATATGACCGTGAAAATTCATCATTTCTCTTCAATCTGAACGATCAGGTATGTGTATCAACCTTTGGATTCCATGTGATTTCTAACCTCTTTTTTTTCACTGGTGTGAATAAGCATTTGTCTTGTACAGTTTGTCCTTGATGCCTATCGAAAGGGTGACAAATTGAAGTTTGCCAACCATGCTCCAGATCCGAATTGTTATGCAAAGGTACCCTTTTGACGTCCTTGCTTGGGGATTCCCCACTTAGTGTCACATGATTTTTAATTGGAACTATTTGGAGTTGTTGTTCTTATGGGGTAAGAACTGTTTGGACAGATAGAAGCATCATGTATAGGGGCTTTTTTTTTCTTTGAAAAAATTGTAGATTTTACATTGAACCCTTCCATGGCAGGTCATTATGGTTGCTGGAGATCATAGGGTGGGCATATTTGCCAAGGAACGGATTACTGCAGGAGAGGAACTTTTCTACGATTATCGTTATGAGCCGGATAGAGCTCCTGCCTGGGCTCGGAAGCCTGAGGCATCGGGATCCAAGAAGGATGACGGTGCTCCTTCAAGTGGTCGTGCAAAGAAGCTTGCTTAACCTGAATCAATTTTAATCTTAGATTTACAATTTTTTTGGCCATTCTTTTACAGGTAAAAGATGCATCATTTTCTTTGACCACAGATGTATTCTTGATCATTTTGTTGGAGAGGCCATTGCCTTCTCAAAGCAGAAATTGAATAGTATTTATTTTCTAACAATTCATGTTTATTTCCAATGTATTTCCTGAGCTTGAAAAGTTACAAGCATACTGAATCAAAAATACCAGTTGACATGAATTTAATTCAACAGAGGGACTTGAAGGCAATGGTGGTTATCTGAAATTACCTTCCTGCCCTTGACTGGCTCAACTATTTTCTGATTATTAAAAGCTTAGATGTATCCAATTTACCTAATGCCTTGACTAATCAGATTGCCTAAGTTCTCCCTTTTGATATATTCTTGGACCTCTGGCCCGAAAAAAGATCTATTCTTGGACGCAACTTTAAGTTGTCTGGACATTGAACTTACAACTAAGAACCAACTGCTGACAGCATTTTTACATTCATGTTTCTTACCGACCCAAGTGCCCTACAGTTGAAGTCGCTGAGCTGAAGTATGCCTACCCTACCATGTGAGAGGCACTTATATGTACCTTATCATCTGTGGCAAAAATCCAAAGCTTTCAAAGACAAAAAAAAAAAAAAGAAGATAAATATATAGCAAAAATTCATTGTTAAATTCAGAAAATACTTTGTGCTTTTTTTTTATTTTTAAAACCTTTCTTATTAAGGGAGACGATAATATACCAAACTCACACACATTACACGAATGCTAGCAAGTCCTTTTCTAGTGCTTTTTTTTATAGTTTGTGTATTTGTCAAATTACATATAAAGAGGAACACTTCATTCTAGGGAAAGATAAGCCAATTTTTCTTCATAGGTCATATCCTTGTTGCTGCCAAACTCATTACCGTTGATCTTAAATTTTTTGGAAACATTAGTCAATTGTATGGTTGAAGTGAAGATCCAATTCATCTAAAAAGGAAAGGGAGAGGTGCTTAGGACTTTTCTTAGGGTTATTAAGTACGGAATTGACTAAAGGCTTTTATTTTTCTATAAGATACAATTTACACTCAAACTTAGTAATTTCTCATTCAATCAGAGAAACTTGTGCATACATCTTTCCACGTGCTAGTTACTTGATCACTTATTATGAGAAAAAATAGAAACATTCCCTACAAATAAGTTATTATGTCATCGCATTCAATCATATGAACTAAAATTCATAAGTCGAAAAAATAACTTAATTTTAGAGCATCTCCAACCAATGAGTAAAATCTATAATAGAGTGGATAATGTTAAAATTAGACAACAAAACATCAAAAAAAAATACATAAATTCTTACTGGATATTGGCGCCTGAGGGTGCGACGACCAATTTAGATAGCATGAAAAGGTAGCGTCGAATATATATTTTTCCCCATTGTTGTATCAACACAAAAGAAAGCACACAATAAAGTAATATATTTATTTGACACAGCAGGTGAATTGAGGGTAGGAAAATGTCAATTTGTTCCATTAAATGTAAATTTAACATCTGTAAAGAACAATAATAAACAAAGGAAAACGACGAGGGTTAGCAATGGAAACTTGGCAGACAAAAAAAAGTGCTGCTTTTTTTCCTTAAAAAAAAAAAAGAAAGAAAAATTAAAGGTGATAAAGCCCGCGTTTAAGACACAAAAACTTGTCACCCTCCCTCAACAGTAAAAATTCTCTCTTTTGCTTTGTCTCTGAGACTGCCTCAGTTCCTCTCTCACTCTCTCTCTCTCTCTCTGGGCGGTGGCTTTCTGGAGCTCCCTGCATAAGCAAATTGCCATGCTACCGTGCTCCGCAGACCACCGAGGCTTATGCAGGGCCTCATCAGCTGGTTACCTCTCTCTGTTACTCTTCTCAGTCTTGGTCACCATTTCCGCTGCTTGCTCCAATGGCAATTGCCAGGTTTCTCTCTTTACTTTCCCCATTTGATTGCTCAAGATCTGTACAATCTCGCATTTTCTCTCTGAATTTGAGCTGAAAGTTCAATAATTTACAGGTTCTAGAAGCTTGTGCAGCAGCCACAGACTGTGGCCCAGGTCTTTACTGTGGCAACTGCCCTGCTTCGGGCAAGAATCAACCCGTCTGTACCAGAGGCCAAGCAACCGCACCCACTTCAATTGTAAGCTTTTTGGACTTTAAATTGGTATATTTGTGATGGGTTTGAGCTATTTTGAGCAAAATTCAAGAAATTGTTGTCGGCCCATTTTTTCTTTGAATGAATTTGATAATGGGTCTGAGTAGGTTTTTGCAATTTCTTGATGTTGTAGATTAATGGGTTACCTTTCAACAAGTACACATGGTTGGTGACTCATAACTCTTTCAGCATCGTCGATGCACCGCCTTTGCCTGGTGTTCAAAGACTGACATTTTACAATCAAGAAGACACTGTTACTAATCAGTTAAGGGTATGTGCTTTCAGTTCTCTTTATGCCAGTTTTGGTTTCTAAGAGTTTGAGGAGAAACTACGGAGATGAGAATTGAACTTTACGGTTTCTGTTTCTGTAGTTTCTTAAAAACGAAATCATCAAGTCACTGAAAACAGCAGAGTATGATACGTTTGGAATGTTATTCCTTTCTTTTACTTTGTTTCTTGGAATTTCAAATTAGAATGAAAGTATCTGTGATTGCATCTTTTATTCCTTAATTATACAAACCTCTTTTAACTTGTGTGATACTATTTTTAGAATGGAGTGAGGGGGCTGATGTTGGATGTGTACGATTTCGAGAACGATATCTGGCTTTGCCATTCTTTTCGGGGGCAATGTTTCAACTTCACTGCATTTGTAATCTCTCTTCCATCTTGTCAACTTAACACTTATTATGTGAATTTTATGGTTATAGTTTTGAGAGGCTCTTTATAATGTGTGCATTGGGTTTTTCACAGCAACCTGCAATTAACACTTTGACGGAAGTGGAAGCATTTTTAAGTCAGAACCCAACAGAGATTGTGACCATTATACTGGAGGACTATGTGAAAGCTCCAAAAGGATTAACAACATTATTTACTAATGCTGGGTTAGTCAAGTATTGGTTTCCTGTATCCAAAATGCCGAGGAAGGGTGAAGATTGGCCCACTGTGACTGAGATGGTGCAAGAGAACCACCGGCTTCTTGTTTTCACCTCTGATGGTTCAAAGGAAGCAATAGAAGGAATAGCTTATCAATGGAAGTATATGGTGGAAAACGAATGTAAGTAATTATATATGAAATACCATCTTCCCTTCAAATTATAATTGAATTGTATAGTTAACAGCTGAATGCTTACTGGGTTTCAGCTGGAGATCCTGGGGTGAAACCAGGCTCATGCCCAAAGAGAAAAGAATCAAAGCCACTTAATTCAAAAAGTGCGTCTCTTTTCTTCCAAAATTATTTCCCAACATATCCAGTTGAAGCTGAAGCTTGCCAAGAGCATTCAACTTCACTTGAGGAGATGGTTGATACCTGTTACAAAGCAGCAAGGGCAATGCCAAATTTTTTGGCAGTCAACTTTTACATGGTATGGAAATTTTAGTGAAGGAAGAAGTAAATACTAAAACATCATGCAACTAGGCATTTAACTGGCATAAAATGATATTAATGCAGAGGAGTGATGGAGTAGGTGTGTTTGATGCTGTTGATAGAATGAATGGCCGGACACTTTGTGGGTGCAGTACTGTCAGTGCCTGCCAGGTTTGTTTGTGGTACTGGTTTCCATATTTCATTTTTGTTCTTTGTGAACTTCTCTATTGTTTTTTACCATCCAAACCAGTGGTAAAAAAGTCTTGTGGCCTGATTCTGACTCTCTCCAACCTTAACAATATGTCCAACAACTCACCAAATTTTCAAACATTTCTTATCTGTCTAAAACTAAAAACATTGTTTGTACAAAACGTCAGAGTTTTATTTAATTTTATTTAATTTTATATAATTTTATGTCAACTTAATTATAGGTGCCTATCTGAATCTAGAAATGGTCTACATGTCAAGGCTAATTACTGATTCGAATGTATTCCTTTTCCTTCTCCTTTCTATCTGCTTCCAAGTAGTATTTTTGCGTCCGGGTAAGATTGAAAGGTTTTATATCATTTCGATGAGAATATTTTTCAAGGTCAAGAATTATGATCTTTACATGTTCATTTTTGTCCCAACACTGAAATGTTATGCAACGTATGTTGGAGTTTAACTTGATTCAACATCTTATTATTCCAAGACTTTCTGGATTCTCTGTTTTAAATCTTGACTTATCAAAAGCCAATTTAGGGTGGTTCTACTGATCTACCTATACTCTTGTGGTGACACACCAATTTTTGTCGTAATAATTGTAAGAAAACACTCTACTGTTGGGTTTTCACAGGCTGGAGCACCTTTTGGATCTTGCAAGAATGTTTCTATACCAACTAGAAGTCCAGTGACCAATAATGCAGGAAGCTTTACTGGCTCTGTTCAGTTTGCAAGATCTGCTTCAACAGTCTATTCTCCGAATCGCTTGGTTGTCTTTATGTTTTATATTCCATTGATGGCATTTTGGTTATGACTGCAACATCTAAATACTAAGATAGTTCATTAGTGAGTTACTTCTTGGGGTGCTTCTTTTATGTCATACTAAAATTTAGAGTGATAACAGTTACGCCCTGTGCCTAGTTGAGTGGAAGGTCAAGTAGTGGTTCTTTGGTTGGTAGAGTAATGACATATGGATTGTAAATGAAAAACTTTTCTGATTCTATTGGGACAAGAATTATGGAGTTGCAGAGGCATCGGCAGTAGATAGTGACTGTGAAGGACCAAGAATGTACCAGGAATCAGTTCAGGTATGTAGCCTTCCTCATGACATGACCATATGTTGACAATTGCACCGTATATATTTCACCTTTTACCTTAGAAGCTCAATACGGATATCCCAGTACTACATGTCAACTTCATTTCTATTTCTTACTTTGTTACATGTGGTTGGTGGTCAAGAGTTCACTTGGTTACTGCTTTTTTAAATAGACATCACTCCTTTTGGTCGAATACACATATTGACATTCGTAATGAGTTTGGTCTGTCTTTTATACGTTTGATTTGTGTATACTGTGGAATACATATATTTTTATCACAATCAAACATTGCATTGAGTACTAACATGTTTCTTTTGCATTTTCAGGTCTTTTGTTAGGGAATGGCGTGTGCGTAGTATGAATAGGGGATTGTACGGCCTAGCATTTGTAGAAGTGCTCGTATTCTCAATACTAGGATTTCCTAATTGTTGTATTTCTTTGGTTTGCTTTTCCCACTATTAATTAGGTCCTGTTCTCCTTCATTTCCTTTTCAATTTCGATGTCAATATCGTAAAACGGAAGAGGGATTTAGGTCTTTACTTCATCTTTACGCGGTACTCACTCAGATTCAACCTTCAGCCTGCGAATGGTCTAGTTTCAATCATAGAATGTACTCTTTACTTCATCTTCTTTGAATCATTTCAACCTTTATTAACACCTTGCACAAAATAATACCGGTGGATGTGATTCATGTGAATTATATACAGAACAAGAGATTAAGAAAACAACCTGCGGTTATTGAGCTGATAAATAAACCTCAAACTTCCCATCTAGGGCATTGAGCTGAAGAAAGAAAATATATACGGCAATGTAGAAAGCAACTATATGAATGAGCAGCTTATACAACCGGCAACATCGAAGCATCAACGTTTAATAGCAGTCCTACGGGTTTTATCTTTAGCACCGGACTGATGGTAAGCAGAGCAATGAAGCAATCCACGGGAACTCTGGTCCCCCATAAATTGATGGACTCAAGCTTGCGGCAACTATTTACAAGAACAAGAAGGCCATTCTCGGTTACATGACGGCAGCTCCACAAGACAATAGTCTGGAGATAAACAATACAAACACAGGTTTAGAAATTGGCATCCATCTACAGAACAAACAGATTCCATAAAATTCATTTGGGAAAATGGCCTACTCTAATGCCTGATAGATATCGATTAATGGAACCGGAAGGCAAGGACATGCATTTGAACAAAACTGGGGGTTCTGAACATTGTGGCACAAAATGAAAACCCAGATTCTAATTTCACTTAACAGCTTACCTTTAAGTGTGGACAGCTATCAGCTATGGCATATAATGATTCATCTGTGATAAATGTACCACCAATATTCAGGTGCTGCAAGCAATTAGCTCTTGATATCTGATGGAAAGTAAAGTCAAATGAGAATCTGATCTAAGCAAAAGCACTCAATCAAACTTATATCATGAACTGCTCAAGCGGGTTTGTGCTCTGAAATAAGATTATCACATTACCAGCTGACCAACACCTTTATCTGTGATCCCTGTAATGCCCCATAAGGATATGGATGTTAAATTGCTGATACACTTTGCCAAAGATATTCTGTACAATCCGCTGTCACTTATCTGGCAACCCCAACGGCTCCTCGAACTGAGTATACGAGGAGAGAAATCAAAAACAAAATAATCAATTAACCTAATTGGTACATCTTCAATATTGATGTACATATATGGTATTGGCCATTTCCTGCCAAATGCTGCTATACATGACACCAGATATCTAAATCAAATGCTTGTAACCAGACTCAAATCTGATGGAAAAGAAAAAGCTGGAAACGTACAGAACGATTACATCGTTTGTGTTGTTAAACCCGGCATTAGGTGCAGAGTCATGGGTTAGTAGTGGTACTAACCCGAAAAAGGAAGAACACTTCCAATGCAGAGAACTTTTTTCTCGAGTAAAACCTAATCTTCACATAAGTGATTGAACTACTGAGTTCTGAATGAGAATATGCATCCCAACGCAGACACATCACATTGGGCTAGGAAATCCTGAATTTCATCCTAAGACCTTCATGTTCTTGGTAATAAGACATACGCCACTCTATGAATCTTACATACTCATGCACATCTAATTTATCCCTTATAGTTCAGAGCCCAATTATCTCTTCTTCTAAGTATTTTGCCTAAATTTCAGTATCCACACCTATGCAATGCAGTTTGCACGGTAAACTCTAAGCACTGACAGACCTTTTATCTAAAATTAAAACCAATAAAAGTAACAGAAAACAGAAATTTGAAGCTTTCAGAATAACCCCAGAAAATAATGTGTGGGTTTTTACTTTTCAGTCTTTCTGACTCTAAAAAGTAGATTACATACTTATGTGCATTATAACTTGTAATTTTGTCACTTAGAGCTCCAAAGAATAAAAAAAATTGATAAATTCAGAAACTTTTGCTTTTCAAGATGTCCTCAACCACTTTAAAAGAACATATTAAAAAATGAAAAAAATGAATCAAACTACGAATAATTAAACACATAAGAGACCTACTAAAAACAGAGAGAGAAAATGGATAAATTCAGAAACTTTTGCTTTTCAAGATGTCCTCAACCACTTAAAAAGAACATATTAAAAAATGAAAAAAATGAATCAAACTACGAATAATTAAACACATAAGAGACCTACTAAAAACAGAGAGAAAATGCCAACGGGGTTAGTGGTAAAGGGCCTTGACTTTTGCAGACCAGATGTTTCAAGTTCGAGTGAGAAATCCTCCTCTCTTTGTAATTTAGACTATCGCATGTACTAAAAAACAGAGATAGAAGACATACATGTCGAGCTCTTTGAGGCAGTAAGCATAGCGAACCAGACGTGCAGTGGAGTCATCGTCCATCTTCCACCCAGCAAAGCTTAAACTCTCTCTGCGACCCAGAGACTGCTTCACCCCTTGTTTCCATTTCCGGCACACACTGCTTGCCCTTCACAAATTCACACACATAAACCCAAATGAACAACAAAACCAACAACCCAGAAGGAAAAAAAAATTTGAAAACAATCAGGATGATAATATATAATTAGGAAAAGAAATGAACAACTTACTGGGCTAAATCAGTGAAGGAAGTGATCAGAACAAATATATGAGCCAGGAGGTCTATTGGCAACCGATCAATCTCGTCCTCACCCACCATCCCAAGTGTTTTCAACCCCAAAAAAGAGATTGTTAGTCCAAAATGATTTTTGGGCTCACAAAGTCTCAGCTGTTGAACCTTGAAAAAAGTCGTAGACTTGTAAATAGAGAAAAGTTACAT